GAGTTATCTTATTATTTCTCATGAGCCACTAATTTTTATTACACATGATCAATGATTTTTCTTTAGTTCAGGCCTTCTCCAATAGAAATTTGAGCATGTGCTACAAATTTGATGCTAACAGATATTGGAATACAAGGGTCAGGGGAGAAGACTGTTCCTCATCAAGTCTTCCTTATCAAAATGAAACCAGAAGCAATACCCACAAAAAAAGTGATTTATAAAACAAACTCTAGAAGACTGAATGTGTATAAAACATATATACATTTTATGACCTTGGTAAAGAAAATCAGGAAACCAGTTAATGAGGAATGGAGAAAACGAGCAGATCGAACCGGGGAAAGAGCAAAACAAAAGGAACTACACGAGCGAAGAAATGAAGCGATTTAGGGTTCACATTCACAGTCTTTTTCAACCCTTCACGATTTGTAGAAGGTTCCATCTAGAGGCTAGGGTTTTGGGGGAAAAGTGAAATGATAAAAATTTCAAATAAGATAAACCGATGATAAAATTTAAATCTAAATAAATTTAAAAAGTTAAAGCTTAAATAAATATTATTTAAATTCAAACTAAATAAATAAAAGATTATAAAGATTATATTTAATATATAAACGAACGTAAATGAACGAATATAACCGAACGTAAATGAACAAACGAGACTCTAGCTTGTTCATTTAAACGAATAAAAAATTTGTTCATGTTCGTTCATTTATTAAATAAACAAACTTATCGCCGAACGATTCGCTGAACGTTCTATTCCTTTACAACCCTAGTTAAAACAAACAATGATACATGTTGACTGACTTGGCCCGAAGCTGAATTTTTCATTCAAGATATAAATCTTTGAGATCAGACACAACATGTTTTTGGAAACAACTTCCGATTTCCTTAACTTTCGTTGCACACTTACAAATACGTTCTCCATGACACTTTAGTAACATACTTTCCAATTCTTCAAATTTTCAAGACATTCTTACCCGTGCAATATTTATGACTAATTAATTCGTGGCAGTGGAGCGATTTATCAACTTTTTGATTTAAAAATGATATTTGGCATATGCACAAGATCACAATTGCTTCTTCCCAGATTATCTTTTTTTCTTACGACACGAGAACTAAATCCGGATTCTTATATTTTTCCAACAAAATATAAATCCGCGTTTGAGTTCGAATAGGAAGTTGAATTCAAGTGAAGAAAGAATAACTCACTCAGAACGCTTTTTAAAAGGATTACGTGGTACGATTAAATCGAATAAGCCCTTCTGGAATAAATACTCAGCCGCTTGTGAACATTCGGGTATTGTTTTATTCAATATTTGTTCAATTACTCTTTTGCTCGGAGGTTTTTAAGGAACTTTGTCCTAATCAAGCGAAATTCAATTAAATTAAGAAAATCAAAACTAAAGATAGGATAGTGATTCCTATATAATTTTGGATATCTTTTCTATACTATGTTTTTTATTTTCTTCTTTTCTTGCTCTATGCATATCTATTTATCATTGTTTTTGTAGAATCTTTTTACTATTTGATTGATCCTCACAAAATCGAAAATCATGGCATTAATTACCTGCAATCGGGCGGTTTTCATTCGAACTCTAATACCAAGTAAGAAACAAGGAATCGAAGTTCTTTATTCGACTTATATGGATTCAATACACTATTCATTCCATAAATCATTTTTCTAATTCTTCTTTATTTATTTTCCATTTAAACTAAAAAATTTAATATATATATGCCGTGTCAATCCAAACACAAGTCCTTTTTGCATCGAAGAAATAGTATCCATAATTAAAGATCAAGTTGAGTTTACTATAAAAATTATCTTTCTCAATACTTATTAAATGGTATTAGAACTACGTGATCATTCAATAGTGTCAAAGAAGGTTTAGTTTGTTTCTGTTGTGAATAATGTTTATTAGATTTCAGAGTCAATTATAACATTTTAGATTGTATATCAAAGATCTTATATTGTTATTTTTACCATTTTTTCTAGAAAATAAATATATTTCCTTCAAATTTGAAACTTTTCATTAGAACCAAGGATAACTATAACTTTTCAATCGGTAAATAAATGTTATTTGTCACTAGTTCAGATCTCTCAATGTCATTATGATTTTCCTGCCTGTTTGATCTTTAAATCAACATGAGATTAGTTGATATAAGCATAATCACATCCCAAATTTGGAATTGATTTTTTTTGAAACATCCCACATTTGTATCCCAACTTTTAGCAGTTGTTTTGGGTTTATATTTATATACATTGTTTTTATTTAATAAATTAAGAAAATATATGAATAATTGGTTGAGTATTGGATGTCCAATGCTAATCAGATCGGATGACAATCCAACAATGGATGATTGAATCAGATCAGATCGAATAAGATACATCTAAATACATTGGATTTCAACAGAGAAACACCCCTAACGCCACTACCCTTGTGGTTATCTTTGTTTTTGTTTATGAAGCGTAAAATCCAAAAAGGAAAATGGAACAATCTAAATTCATATTGTCTAAAAAATAAAGGAGAACAAAAATAACATGAGAGAGGGGTGTTAATGCCACACCATCTTTTAGGGCAATGTGACCATATCGTTTAAATGTAAAGGGACTTAATGGATGAAAATTAGCGTTCGTTTATGAGAGGGACCAAAACCAAGCAAATTAATAATAATTCCATAGAATAATCTATTGTAATAAAAAATTATAGGGACTAAATGTAAGAGAAATTGAAAACCACAAGGACCAAATCCGTAATTTACTCCATAATCTCACTAATTTGCTTTTCGATGGTTACATGAACTTTAAAATTGTATCCTTCATTTAGTAGAATTATTTCCACATAGATATGACATTTAATTTTTTTTTTTTCATATCTTAAAATAATCCCTCAAATCCAATAATGAGAGAATATCTATATCTATTTCATAGACATTAACAACTTCTAATATATATGAACAATCTATGGATAACTATAGTGGAGTAGATTGATTATACATATGCATTCTATAGATGTGTTCAATGTCTTCAAACGCTATTCAAGTTTATAGATATTTCTTTTTCAGATATGTCTATCTTGTCGGTACAACTTTTCACCATTCACCTTTTCTAACTCGTGCATGTGCTGCCATATGACTCTTTAGCCATGAAGAACAAAAAAGAATGTTTTCTGCTTGTTTCTCAAAGGTCTTCCAATTCTCTTTTGACCAACACATAAATGTCCGTTGATCATTGAATTCCATGTGAAGGGTATAATGAAGAAGAGATTATATATAGTTGAAAGCGAAGACAATTATCAGTTGATTATCGACATGGAAAAAAGTTAGCTAGTCATGAAAAATTACAAAGGTTTGATCAACCCAAGCATCTGGTACACTAGTGAAAGATGGTTAGATGATGGCAAGGAAACACAAAGTCTTAAACAAGAAGAAACATATAAAGGAAAATATATGGTCCTTTTAGCACCAAAAAATGCATGAAACAAAATCTTTGTTAGGGAGTAGGATTCAATAACTAAAAATAATGAGTGTGTTGCCTAGATGAAACTTGTAATTATGTAAGAGTTCGTTTTCCTTAAGTTGCATGTCGACCCTAATTTGCTTGGGTATATATCACAAATCAACTTGAGGATAATATAAAACACCTTCGTGTCGATTTTGGTAGAAATAGTTACCTTTTAACCATATAGAACTGTAACCATTCATATATCAATGTCGAGAATCATTCCTCGTAAAATGAAAATAAATGCTAGAAGTAAGTAATTAGCAGTTAAAAAAAACAGTTGCACAACTAATGAGAAATGCTTATCAACTAATGCAACTGATGATCAGTCAGTGGAGAATCATTAGCTGATGATCAATCAATGGAAAATCATTAGTTGATGACCATTAATTGATAACTCATTGGTAGTTGATGGCCATCAACTAATAATCCATTAGCTCATACATTAATGGGTAATTTCTCATGCATCATTTATTAATGTTTGCAAACAATGATTAATACCACTGTTAACTACTACCCCTTTGGACCTTGCCAGTGGCGTTGGCCCTAGCACCTTGCAAGGGGGCACAACCCCATTCAGCCCTGTAATTAGGGCTATCCAGCGATCCTAAATTTTAGTTAGCTTACATAATGCACACTCAACACTTTCAACTCGGTGTTGTAGTTTAACTAGTCATCTCATATTCTCTAGCGAATCCAACTACGTAAAATAGACCGACTATTTCACTAAAATCATGAACAATCTTGACAGTAAAGTAAGACACAATTATGCGTACAATGTGCACACACAAAAAACTGGGAATATAAGATCCCATAATTGTACCGTATTAATAATATTGAAGCAACTATATAGAGCTAAACCCTAATTCACGATTATAATAAGTACTAACACATATTTTGAAGCATCTCAGAATACAACGTTTAACTTACTAATCATGTTTTCCCTTACCATAAAAAACCAATAATAAAGAACAAATATAAGTGAGAAAAGTGAATGTGTAAATTAATCTTTGAACCATTTTATGGGATTGATCGATGCACATAAATTGAGCTGGAAACCTACGATTACTCAAAAATAAACATTGAAGTTTGTACTTTTTGCATTTACAACCACCATGATGTTGTAGAACTAAAAACTAAACTAATGCAAACGGTTCCGGTCCCAAAACCAGACAATAAATCAGATGCACAACTGGACTTATTTTAATTTGTAAAAAACATAAACCTCAAACAACATTGCTTTAAACTTGAAAAATAGAAGAGTCCTATTTCGATTTGTAATCAAAGACAACCGAAGATCGATTTCAGATATAAGATTGAGCCTAAAACCGAACTAACATAACCGTCTTGTGTTTGATTTCCTCCGGTCCCTAATTCGGTTATTTGAGTAAGGTGGAACCAAATTTTACCTACCCATATTTTAATGGTAATCTGGATTAAACTTAAAAAAGAAAATAAATTGAAAAAGAAAATTAAAAAAAAGGAAAAAAAGGTGGAAATGGTAATGGTAGAAGACTTGCTCAAGCTTTCATCTCCCATCCCTAAACCTAAACCTAAACCATGGTCCGAAACAACCTGGTTTTTTGGTCGGTGGTTTATTGCATCTACACTCACTGCGCACGTTAGCACATCCAATGATTTACTGCCATGTCAAATGCTAACGTTGCCCACCCCAACCCCCACCTCCACCTCCCTTGTTATATATCCTTCCTTTCTTGCACTCGTAAGACAAATATCGCCGTCAAAATCTCTGCATCGTTCGCGAATTAACCCTCCTGCGATCCCCAAAATGCCTAAATTTTCCCTTAACTTGAGTGCTATGGCCGGCCATCGACCTCCAATGGCGTTAGCTGCTCATCGAATCCAATCATCGCCCAGGAAACGACGGCAGCAGAAGTATAGGTCGATGAAGGATATCATGAAGACGGCTAAGCATGTGGTGTTGGTGAATGATGATGATGATGATGATGACTACAGCGATGCTGTTTGTGTTATATGTGGCTCTGGTCACGACGATCATCAGATCCTGCTGTGCGACAAATGTGATAAAGCTTATCATATGCATTGTTTACGACCAATTGTTGCGCGTGTTCCATTTGGTCATTGGTACTGCCCTACCTGCTCCGATCATCCTCCAGCGCTCACAAGTATGCAATTCTGATGAAATTCTGCAATTCCCCTAAGTCTTTCCATATATATGCATGCATGAAATGTATAACAACAGATATTACTTCATTTTCTTCTCCGATTTCTGAATCGAACTAATTTCTGCCATCTGTTGATATCAGTTTCAGGTTTCTCGCAGACTAAGATATTTGATTTCTTTAGCATCAAGAAATGCAGCGGTTCAACGATGAAAAGGATCTCCCCGCAGGGTATATATATGTTTTATTTTTTTTAATTATTTCTGATTTTTTGTTGAGCTTCTGACTGACAAATCTAATGGTTATCGAAAGTTCTGAAGCTTTCTGCACTTGATAAACAACCATGGTTCTGGCAGCTTTTAGTTACAGTTTCACTGTTTGATTGATTTTGAAATATACTTTTAAAGGATGCTGATTGACTTGCCTTATCTTTCCGGACTCAGATCTGCAATCTCAGAAGAAAATATATGTTAAATTTTTAACTAACAGTAAGCATAAAGAAGATTTACAAACATGGTATCTATCAGATCTTTGGATCACAACTGATGTATTTGGGAAAATGTAAAAAAATCCACAGAAGCTTGTTATTTTATGTGTTTTCAACAACCAAACTTGTCATTTCATTACAAAAGAACCATCAAACTAGTTTTAATTTTTTTACAGAATGTATAAACTGCAATTTTGTTGGCGTTTTCACATATCAACTAGTAGAATGGTCGTTTTTTTATGAAGGAACAAGCACGATCAGAGATTTAAAATATAATTTTCTCGTATAAGAAGTTTAATTTATGGTCTGCAATGCTTCACCATGACTGCAAGTGAGTAACTAGTTTTAATTTGAACTTCTTCGGTGTCAAGTTGTCTTTAATTTTTGGTAGTTTTTTGATCACTAAAATGTTATTTATGCAATGCTCACATGGTGTTTAGTGTCCCTGGGCCTTTTATGTAAATTATTAGCACTTGTGAAGTTTTGGGGCTTGAAGTTATCGATCCGTTGTCATTTAATTCAACTCATTTCAATAGGAAAAATGAATTATTTATGTATGTTTTCTACCAGTAAGTCATACATTTAACGCCTTCAATCATGTTTTCTAATCATTGTATTTTGAGTAAATGAGATTTTAACTCATCTTACTTGTCACTTGGATGCAAAATGATCGTTGTACTTGCTAAACTAGAGTTTCGATATTGCACTTGGGCATTCTTTTGTGATCTCAGTCATTGTAACAATCACAAGAAATGCCCAATAACAATGTTTAATCTCTATTTTAGCAAGTTCTATGGTTATTTTGAAACTAAGGGGATGTTTGGTTTATGGTGGAGAATGAAAATGAAAATGACAGGTTCCCCCAAATTTACTCTGGAATGAAAATTTGGGTTTATGGGAGAATGAACTCATTATATTATATAATACCAAACAGTTTCTTTTATTTTCATTTCTATTGATCACTGCTTAATACCTCTATTCAAACATCCACTAAATAATTAACAAGTTCTATGGTTATTTTGCAACTAAATAATTAACAAGTTCAATGGTTATTTTGCAACTACTTTTCTGTGCAGTGAAAAGAAATTGTGAATCAGACTGTAAGTGACAAGAGTGTTTACATAGTTATAAGTTCATTCAAGTTGTTGAACTTGCATAATAAGTTTGTCCAGAACTTCCATCTGCACCAAGTTCATACATTTAATCTTTATCAAACAGTATCTATCGAGCTACCCTGGTTATTTCTTCAAAAGTGGCACACTTGGATGATATATCATCTAAGAACGTTGTGGATGTTAATTAATTCTTGCACGAGTTTGGAGTATATGACATAATTTACTACGGTTGCTACTCTTTAGCTACATGGGGTATAGCTAGAAAGCCAAATTCTTGAGTCTCTAATAACTGCAAATCAATTTGAAATTTTTCTACAAGATTTTTTCTCCAGCCTCACATTCTTTAAATTTTTCCATCTTACTTGTTTTCAGTCCTTTCTCTTTGCTTGAGGTTACCACTAATGATTTGCATAGAGCACGATAAGATCCATGAGCTGTTTTATAGTTAAGAAAAGATAACACACCGTGCCTTTGTCGCTTGCTTGGATGTAAAATCTTAACTGATATGAAGTTACCTTTTCTGAAGTTTTATGGTTTTTCAATGACTTCATATTCCTTTCGTAGTAAAATATACCTTAATATCGAATTGATGATTCTGATTAGTGAAATCCAGTATTACCGGGCATCTTATTCTTTTACTAATATATGTAGTACACTCCGAATTTGAACTCACTTTTATCAAATTAATGTTATCTCCAAGACATCTTGGTCTTAACTGTTCTAGTTTTACACAAATATCATAGTTGGATGTTATATCAGTTGTCACAGTTTCTTTATTGTGTTTTATTCCTGAATCAAATTATCTTTCGGGATCAAATCCTTTATTCATTTTTCTGTCATGACGACAGCGTGCTTGCATACATAACTTCTGTCTCTTTTTGGTTCATAACTTCTGTAGATAGGTCATTATTTATGTTATGTATGTAAAGTATCACTACAACAAAATCGGGTTTATAGGACTCCATCAATTTCAAAACATCCTAATATACTGTTTTATAGGACTCGATTTATAGGACAAAATATAAAGAGTCCTAATCGTTGTAATAAATTTATATGATGTTTTTGAGTTCTTTAACAAGTTTTTAGGAGACCTTTAATACAAAGTGTCGCATTAGCTATTTTATAGGACACTATTTGAAACAGTGTCTTATAGAACAAGTGTCCTGTAAAAAGATAGGTTTATAGGACACTTTTTTAGCTAATGAGACGCTTTGTATTAAAAGTGTCCTAAAAAACTTTTTAAGATGTCCAAAATCGTCCTGTAAACTTATTACAACGCCTGTAGATCCTTTATGTTTTGATCCTTTCTGTTGTAGTGTATCCATGATAACCTCATTGTATTATTATTTCTCTTTGTGTTCCCTATTGCTTGATTTGTGTTTCAGATCCCTTTATGTTAAGCATAAAATGCTATTTATGACCATAAATCCCCTTATTTCGTAGTAGATATTCAACTTATTAGACCTTGTATTTCTTATGGTTTCAGTTTTTCCTGCCAGATCATATAAGTCACACAGAGGCTTGATTTGTTAACTATATAAGAAAATGCAACTACACCCCATTAGTTGCAAGGACCTGATGCCGTAATCAAGTTCATCTAGTGCACAATAATGAGATTCAATACACGTAATTAACAATGGATCATCTCAGCTTAATGAGGGAAAATCCAATATTTTCTATTCAAAATCTGTCTTATTACTACTAACTGCATATAAAATGATAATTCAGGTTCAACAAATAAAGTGTTGTTCGTATTTCCTTCAAATATTTTTGTTGTGAAAACACTGTGTAATATCTGAACTCAGTTTTTTCGGATTACTGCTATTTATCTATGTATGTGCTGGTTGGTGTGTGCAAGTATCTCCACATACATAGGCTGTAGATGTGTGTGTGTGTGTGTGTCTGTGTTACATGTTAGGGGTTGTTTGTTTACCTCTTAATAGTTCCATTAAAAGGCAACATCTGAACTGTTAAGAGATGAATCTTGTTTGGCAAAACAAAAGTCTGCCTCTTAATGGTTCTAAAACCCTCTGAATGATTTTGTATCATGAATCTCCCTTAACCATTAAGTGCCATAATTTCATTGTACACAATACCAAACAATTATATTTCATTTTGCACTATATCATGAGAGCCTCTTAATCATTATGACCACTTAATCATTCTGCACCAAACCATTCAACAATTGCCAAACAGCCCCTTAGACTCATTTTCAAAATAGTTGGTGAGTTGGGAATTGGGATGTCAGCCAGAAACTGAAATCCTAGTTTTAGCATTTGTTGTCAAGCTCCTAACTTCCTTGAGTAGTATTGTAAATTATATGTAGAAGGGTAGTGTAATCCCCCAAACTCTACATCATAATGGAACATCCTGAGTATGTTTCGTTTGGTTTTAGGGGTAGTGCGATTGAGGTAATTTATGTGCAAAGCAAGTGCTAGGTTATGGTTTTTTCTTCAAATTAATGCTCTTTAACATAGAAAGTGATTTGCTCGAGTTAGATGGTTTAGGGTGGATCACCCAACATGGTCACTGGTGCCAAAGGATCAGTGTACACATTTAAGTCTTTTCTGAGACATCATTATCAGTTTGTTGATAGTTTTAAAAAGAAAAAGAAATGGATGCCAAAGAATGGTGTTAACATTAGACTATGGATCCACTGTCCATTAGATAACTTCATAGCTTAAATACCATTTTATGTCATACTTCATTTTCAAGATTTTCTTTTTTGGTTTCTAACTGCTTCGTTCTGTTGTGTGCAATTGTATTTTTAGATCCTAGGAAACGGAAGAAGCGAACTGGTCCGTCAGTGCATCAGAAGAGGAAGCGCAGACTATTGCCATATGTACCTAGCGTAGACCCTGATTGTAGGCTACAACAAATGCAATCTCTAGCATATGCTCTAACATCGTTAAACCTGGAGTTCAGCGATGACCTTACTTATCCCCCTGGCATGGCTCCAAGATCCGCAAACCAAGCCATTCTTGAGCATGGGGGAATGCAGGTTAGCATCGATTCCCATCACTCATTTAAGTTTATCGCTTTATTTGTATCTAGAATGAATCTTACGGTTCTTATACCAAGATTCTTAATTATTTATACAATCCATGTGAGAAACAACACCATTAGAAAAGTAAAATAGTCCCCAATTCCTACAGTTCTTTAGGCAATCTAGATCCCAAAAACTGAAACATTATTCCTATGTGATTGAAAGGTCAAGAGTTCAGTCACAAAAACATCTTTGTAAAATGTAGAGGAAATTAAGACTGTATAAAAGTACTCCTCTATTTTGTAAGATAGAGGTCAAGTCTGTGTACATCTCAACCTCATACCTTACTTTCGAGTGCGATTAATTGCATCATTTTGGTTAGGTTTGGTATCAAGTGGTTCTGAACAACCCTTGGGTTGTAAGTTCCACCTCTTTCTGTTAAACTGTATCTGCTTGATGTAAGTATTGCTTTTAAGTCATATCATGTGGATACATCTTATTTTGATTTTCTTTAAGGTTCTGTCAAAAGAGGATTTCGAAACCCTAGAGAAATGCAGAGCGATGGCAAAGAGAGGCGAGTACCCTCCTCTACTCATAGTCTATAATTCCTGTCTAGGGTAAGTAACTTCTACTAGATTCTTACACACTAATAATCCATCTGTGTAGTGTAGGGTTTTATATATGCGAATGATGCTTTGTTTGGATACAGTTATACAGTTGAAGCTGATGACCTGATAAAGGATCTGACATTAATTGCGGAATACGCGGGAGAAGTGGACTACATTAGAAACAGAGAAGACGACGATGGCGATAGCATGATGTCCCTTCTTCTAGCAACCGATCCAGACATAAGTCTTGTAATTTGCCCGGATAGGCGAGCCAACATTGCCCGCTTCGTGAGCGGAGTAAACAACCACAAGGCGTAAGTCTTGTGAAAGTTTAATTGATTGATTAGATGGCATTTCTAATTACAAATAATTATTCAAATTGGTCTCTTAATCATTTCTCTCTCGAGTTTATTCAAATGTCACTACTTTCGCAATATTAGTTAAAAGACAAAAAAAAAAATTCAGATTCAACAAAAATCTGCAATTGTGTTGGCCAGGTTCGTAATTACGACCGTAAACTGCTTGAATTTGATTTTTTTGTCTTTTAGTTAATATTGCGGACCTAGCTAATATTACGGACCTAAATATTGAGGAAATAGTGACATTTGGATAAATCTGAAAGAGAAATGGTTAGAAAACCGATTTAAGTATGGTTAATGATCATTTGAGTAAATTTCCAATTGTTACGAAAATGCAAAACAAAACCCCGCCTTCGTAGACATTAAATAATTTTGGAAAACTACGGTAAAATCTTGTGCACCATTTTGGTAAAAAAAAGTAAAATCTTATATAATTTATTTAAAGTGCTCATTCCTGAAAACTACGGTATCTTTTTACCATTTTGGTAAGAAAAACAACTTTTTGTAGCACAAAATCAAGTTTGATATTCAAAAAGACAATCACTTGATCATGAATTTACTATATTTTGTGTACAGCGACTTTTCTTTAAATCGATACGACAATTTGCAGGGAATCGAGGAAGAGGCAAAACGTGAAATGTGTTAGATACAATGTCGGGGGAGAATGTCGGGTCCTCTTGGTTGCTACCCGTGATATTCTAAAAGGTGAGATACTATATTATGACTATAACGGGTATGAAAACGAATACCCGACTCATAACTTCATTTAAGATATTTATATATATATATATATATATATATATATAAGAACCAAAGCTCCAAAAATTGTTGTTTGCGTTAATCTGTTGTTATGCCATTAGTTTGTAAATCTCTTTTTCAACGTTCAGACATCATATAGGTTGTGATTTTTGTGGACCAAAATTTTCAGTTATAAATTGTTGATTAATGGTATATGTCATGTTTAGTATTACTAAAATATGTGAAAACCTTTAGATTTTCTTTCTAAAGAACCTTATAAATAGAGGGAAGACTCTTATATAAATATACATATTTGATGATATTTTACCTGATGTCAGATTCCAACCCACTCCCACACAGGAGGCAAAAAATGTGAATTGCATGGATGTGATGACATTGCCACTTATACATTGTTAGAATATGTAAAGCCTCTTTATATAATTCTCTCTAAATAAGGTCATATAGAGAGTGGAGAGGTTAATATATATATATATATATACATATATATATATATAGAGAGAGAGAGAAAGAGAGAGAGAGAGGGGTTAGATGGTTTGTATCAAGTCGATAAGAGATTCCAAAAGCCAAGTTGTGATTTGGAAATTCGAATTTGGATATGACATAAATTTATAGCACCAAACAATTGTATATCTTATGTGTAGGTGTTATAGTAAGTTTATAAAATACTTTTGGACATCTTAACAAGTTTTTAAGTTGCTTTTAGAATAAAGTGTCGTAATAACTTTTTATATGACCTTTTTGAAAAGTGTTTTGTAGATAAATCTTCGTATAGGAAATTGATTTTTACACGACAAGGCTTCAAATAATGGCATATAAAAAAAATCTACAAGGACGTATTATATTAAAATTTTCCAAAAAAGCATATTAAGACGTCAAACGTCCTAAAAACTTATTGTAACACTTTTACATAGCATGAATAATTATTCGGTTTTTTATATCCCAATTTTGTTTAAGTGTTCCCCTATGTAGGATGAATAATGATGGCATGTTTATGCGCTCAAGTCAGTGAGGGCCTCGACTGTGCCCGAAGATAAGTCTTGAGACCATGTACATTGTTGTTATTCTCCAAGCTTAGCAGCAAACATGTCAATATTACTTTCACCATTCTAACAACAGAGTTGTCGATGTCGGGTTTTCCGAGCCTTGTGACAAAACACATCGTTCCTGGTTTTTGTTAGACTTTGTTGACAGTTATTCTAGGGCTTGGGAACAATTGTTGAAGAAACGTTGTTATTGTCCAAATACATATACATCTAGGTGTTACATGTGTGTGTATATATATAGACTTGGAATCATGTGAGACCCGTAGACCACCTAAACAACACTAAACTTTCACAGCAAACCACTGTCGAGGTAACATTCACAATGTTTTTGCTGTGAATGTTCAGAGTTTTTTACCTAGACAATATTATGCTTTGATGTTTCAAGTATTATTTTGTGGTCTCATGAGTCTCTGCATTCACGTGAACCCAACCCTATATATACATATTACATATGGGATCACAAGATAAATTTTCATTTTTATGAAAAACGTGGGAAATAGGTTACCTTCGCATGGACCTATATTGAAAAGAGGTCGTGAAAGTTGTGATCTCCACATGCTTTCAAACAACAAAAATTATATTCACACACTATACATGAAATTTACATTATATATTGTGAAAGTTTATATTTCTTACACTTCTCATGAGATGGGTATTTCTCATGAAACAAACCCCCATGCGTGTGTTTTGAAAAACAATCTAAATCATTTATTCAGTTTTATTAAGTTATGATTCATAAAGTTGCATATGTTTTGTTCTTCTGTATGTGTACCAATGATGTGTGTGTGTTTCATATATAAAGGTATATTCTTGTTTTTTCCACACAAAATAGTTTTGAACGTTACATATATGAAACAACACATTATGTTTCACATGTGATATTTCATATATGAAACACCACATGAAAAATGGTTTGTAACATATATTAGTTTGTATATGATTTGCCTATACGATTAGGATCATCTAACAACAACTTTTAGTGAGAAATGATAGTACTTTTGAACTTTTGAGCGAGATGATTTTTTTATCTAACAGCTAAACAAGCGCGGTCCTTCCACTACCTTCGATATGATTGATGACCCGCAAAAAAAAAATGATCTACATCACCTTCATCTATACAAAAATGGTCTACATCACCTTCATCTACCTTCATGAACTTTCATGTTCAGCTTTAGGCACTTTCATGAACTTTTTGCATACTTTCAATTACTTTCACGTGCATTAATTTGTTAAAGTTTTAGTCATAGTAATAAAAATATATAGTGAAGATAGATAAGGATTTGTGAAATACAGGTAGATGAAGATTTTTTTTTCACCAAAAAAAGTCATTCTCACGGGAATCCAACCCTATGTAGGGGAGGGTTCAACTAAGGATTGGCTTACATTACAAAAGTAGCTAACAAATTTTTCCATAACATTCATATGCGTAACTTGTAGTTATAACAAGTATTCCAAAATCAATAGATAACATATTATTTTCCAAATTCCATTTAAACACATAAGGAATCTCACATTTTCCTCTTTCCCTTATCCCTTGATAGTGCTCGACCTGTAATACATTTTTGAAACATAAAATGAGGGTTAGACCTTGAGGTCTAGTGAAAATTTCCCTTTTTGTAATTACAGGGTGAAAATCACCAAAACATGATATAAACTCATATTTGTAATTAAAACAAATATATATCATTTTTCAACAAAACGTAACTCAAGTATTGCATTCAAATAAGAATTTATAAAATTTCCTCGCATCACACTGGTGTAAGATCCTCAACTCCTCGCATCACCCTATGGTTTCTTAAGGACCAGAGCTCCTCTGGTTTTCCAACCAGAGCAAAGCCAGACTTAAACAAAGCACTAAAGATTAACCTGAAGCAAGACTTTGAAAAAAGACTAGGCCAACCAAAACAAATGACCAATCAGAGGCCCTGTGAATGTCTAGAGCCCCTCTTGTTCATCAAACAGAAGTTCCAGATACCGCCTCTTAGAAAAATAGCCAATATTGAAGCAAACTTTAACACAAGTAATGGCTAACCAGAGGCCTTCTGGACGACCAAACCATCTAGTTCGCCTAATTAGAGCTTTTAGTAACAAAAATGAAATACTTTGAAAGAATGGATTTTAAATGCAACCAGAGGCCTTCTGATTAATCATGAAGATCAACCAGCGCCTCTATGATCCTTTACTAAAGGTTTGAACATATTTTTAAGGACAAGCATAAAAAAAACAATGTGATAGGATAATTCTTATCCAATACCTTTGTATTGAACCAAACAGGCGGTGGAGGTTTAATATTATTAAAACCATAAATATCTCACATTCTTCCATGAGATAAAACAATTATCTCATATAAACAATAATAAACCATAAGAGACGGTGAGACTATTTTAAACAATTAAGCACAAAATCAATTTAAGTCCCTTCATTTACCATTACCTTTCAGAAATCAGCCCGAACTATTATAACCGAAAGATCGGTTATCACATTATCAACCCCTCAAAACAATTCTATCCCAAAATTCACTCAATCAAATAGCCACGTATATTCTGCTCTCATTTATGATTTTAGTTCCCAAGTAGCTTCTAGACCTTTATGAAAAAGCCACTGAACTTTCACTAGACTGATCTCTTTATTCCTTAAAACTCTTGTTTTCCAGTCAGTGATGGCTTCAGGAGTTTCTTAAGAATTCAGTTTATGATCCACTTTCACCTCAGGTAGTGGTATTGCCATATTTGGATCGGCCAAACACTTTCGCAAGTTAGAAACATGAAAAGTTTTATGAATTGAGTTAAGTTCTTTTGGTAATTCTAATTGATATGCGACTGAACGAACCCGTTTACAAATTCTGAATAGCCCAACATACCCTAGACCGAGTTTACCTCTTTTTCCAAATCGAACAATACCCTTCCATAGAGAAACCTTTAACATCATGAATTCTTCTATCAGAAATTGAATCGTTACGACGCTTATTGGCATAACTTTTCTGTCGGTCCTGAGCTGTTTTGATTATTTCACGTACTTGATCTATTTTTTCATAAGTTATCTGAACAATCTCCGGACTAGTTAACTACCTTTCCCTCACTTCGTTCCAACACAATGGCGTTATGCTCTTAAGGCCATACAAAATCTCATAAGGTGTCGTTTGGATGCTTGAATGATAACTATTATTGTAAGAGAATTCGTTCAGAGGCAGATGATTTTTCCAAGATCCCCCGAAGTCAATAATACAAGCTCTCAACATATCTTCAAGGTTCTGGATTGTCCGTTCACTCTGCCCATCAGTTTGAGGTTAATACATCATACTTAATTTGATTTGAGATCTCATGGCTTTTTGAAAACTCTCCCAAAATTTTGAGGTAAATCTATTGTCTCTATCTGAAATGATTGATGACAAAAATTCATGACGAGTCACAATTTTATTAATATAAATCTTTTCCATCCTTCCTAAATGATAATTCTCCTTAATTGGTAGAAAGTGCACAGATTTAGTCAAACGGTCTACTATAACCCATACGGCATCGTACCCTTTTGGGGTTCACGGGAATTTCATGACAAATCCATCGTGATATGATCCCATTTCCACACAGGAATTTCTAAAGATTGTAAATTCCCATATGGTCTTTGATGCTCGATTTTTACTTGTAGACACGTCAAACATCGTTCTACTTATTTTGCAATATCCTTTATGTCAATCCTGGCCACCAATAACAATGTTTTAAATCTTTATACATTTTTATTAGTACCTGGATAAATCGAATATCATGAGTTGTGACTCTCATCCAAAATTAGTTCCCGGATATTCCCGAAACATGGTATCCAAATTATGTCTTGAAAACATAGAATTCCCTTGTCATTTTTCATCAGGGTTGAGATTATTCATCCAACTCTTTCCACTTTGAATTTATTATTTTTGATAGCTTCACCTTGACATCTTAAAATTTCATCATGAAGATCGGGAGTCAAATTTTTTC